TCTGCTATGTAGCAGAAGGGAGTTACAAGACTCAATTTCACTCTATAACTAATTATATTGTGACAATTTCTTGTTATTGCCATTATATGACTACAATATGAAAAGCCTAAATAATAAATTAGCATAATGATGTCACTGAATATTGGTTACTGTCATATTTAGGTATTATATCACAATGTTGTGTGAGTTTTGCTAGTTTCCTGATGTGAAAGTCTGACAAACACATCTGGAAACATTTTAGTTTGAACTACGGTGGTTCAAACTAAGTTAGTTCAAACCACGGTTGTACCAGCAACGCACGACAGTTTTGGGAAACTGTCATACTTCAGATGTTGTTTAGTTTAACAAGGAATCGTACCAATATCGTTCAATGCCACCTTCCGTCGGTAATGCACCCCACATCATCTAGCTACTTTTAACTTGGTGAGTACAGTTAGTATTACTCAGAGGTATAATGGATAAAACTATCACAACAAGATGCAGAATTGTGTGTGGACTAAGGATGTGCATCTCTTTCATTGAGGCCATCTCGCTGCATTGCCAACAATCCGATGCACTAAAGATACATATGAAGCAACTACCGGAAAATGGTGCACACACCCACACACACACACACACACACACACACACACAGTCATGGCCAAAAGTCTGTCATTAGGAGTACTTCTGCCAGAAAACTGTTGCATTTAGAAATTCTTTGGTATTCACATATTTCTTTTGTTTGCATTGGAACAACACAAAAAAGCAGAGGAAAAAGCCAAATCTGAGACATTCCACACACAACTCCAAAAATGGACTGGACAAAATTATTGTTTTTTCATCTGCATGTGTGATGATTCAGCATGGAACATATTAAATGATAAAGGTTGATCTACAGGAGAAACTTATCTGAAACCAACACAGAATACCTGAGAGCTGCACTGCTTAAGATTCTGTTAGTTTTAGATTTTGAATTGTCACCTAACACCTTCATTTTGTGTTCTACTTTACATAAACAAAAAGATTTTCACCATAAATTGGTGCAGGAAAGGCAGAAATTGGTGCAGAAAATTTCACCAGAATGCAGGAAATGAAGTGTTGAATGCTCAAATATTTCTAGGGGACTACCGCCAAACCCCTCTACTGATTATTCTCTTGATGACAGACTTGATGACGCTTATTCAACTTCCAAAAACATGTTCTCCTGTCGCTTTTCCTCTCCTGCTCTGCTCTCCTCTCCTACAACACCAGTACACACATGAATTGTTAAATAATCAAGACTAAGGTTACATTAACTAGAATAAAAACAGAATAGTCATCAAATCACGTACAGTAACGAGTGTAGTTGTCGTCAGCTCAAGTAATCTTGGTGTTATCTCAGATTTTCTAATTCCCTGGCTCTTGCTGAAAAACTGCTGACCATAAACAGTATTAAAAATTAAGTTTGATATAAACAAAATCTTAAGGATCATAACTTTAAATTCACATCGTTGACTTTGTTACTTAAAGAATCTGTATCAAAGTGTCTTCTATTTTTGTCTGTCACTTTAATTTAGTTTTGTTCCCGTCTCGCTCCTTCCCTCCATCACTGTCTTTCTCTCGCTCTGCCTCATGACCACATGCAGCCTCAGGCTCTCCATTAAATCTTCATATTAGCGAGACGTCGTGCTGCCGTTGCTGTAATGACTGCAGGAACGCAGTGTATCTCTTCATTTGCTTTCAGGTCGATTTTCCACGCTTTACGTCCCTCATTTTCCCCTCCATATGTTCCTCGCAGGATTTATCACCGCCTATCTGCGGCTCTACTGTATCTGTGACGCAGCCGGAGGCTCACTTGAACTGTAAAAGCTGCTGCTGTGAGAGCTAATCTTCCCACATGTAAAGGCTTAATCCACATTGATCTGCAGATGAACCCAGATCAGAGGAGATTAGATAAGGCTTGTTCACTAAAAGCAGCCCTCCACCCGTCTTCCTGCTTCACATCCAAGGTATACACAGTCTTGTCTCACTGCGTGAGTTTTGTCAACACGAGGAAGTGTGACTGTGTCACCTAATGTCAAAAAATACTGGACACAAACCAGTGATGAGCTCAGAGATTGAAGTCTAAGATCAGTGAAGTAGGAGGACTGACAGCAATGTTAGCAGTAGAAGAAGTTCTTGTAGTTATTCTCAAAAAGCCCAGTATGACCTCAACAACAACTGTCCGATCTACAAGCTTGATCTACTCCTCAAAGTGGATGGTTGCTCCATCTCTCCATCCCAAGAAGTCCACAACCTTGGTGTCATTTTGGACTCCACCCTTTCCTTCCAGTCATATGTCAAACTCATTACCAAGTCTGCCTTCTACCACCCCAAAAACTTCTCCAGACTTCGACCATCACTCTCAGACTCTGTGGCAGTCTCTCATCCATGCCTTCATCACCTCCCACTTGGACTACTGCAATGGTTTCCTGTATGGGGTACCCAGCAAGGTCCTGGACAGGCTTCAATATGTCCAGAACTCAGCTGCCAGGGTTCTCACTCACACTAAGACGTGACAGCATATCACCCCAACTCGCTGGCTCCCGGTCAAATTCCGCATCACCTACAAAATCCCACTCCTCACCTATAAATCTCTCCATGCCACTGCAACCTGGTACCTACTGGACCTTCTCCACGCCTACACCCCCTCACGGAACCTGCGGTCCAACGACAAGGGCCCCCCACACCAGACTGCAGGCTTTTGGGGACACAGCCTTCAGCGTCGCAGCACCCACCCTCTGGAACTCCATCCCCACAGAGATCCGAAATGGTCCCTCTCTGGACACTTACAATCAACTCCTAAAAACGCACCTCTTCACAAAAGCATTCAACCCTGAATGACTTTTATTGTCTGTCTATTGTCTGTTCTCTGTAGTTATGTGTAAAGTGTCCTTGGGTCCTGTGAAAGGCGCTATAAAAATTTAAATATCGCTAGTAACTGCTTTTAAATTAATTTCACTGCCATAATGGCTTAAAACTAATGATGATGTGTCCAGGTTAGGGCTGCACAATATATCGTTTCAGCATCGTCATTGCAATGTGCCCTTGCGCAATAGTCACATCACAAAACAATGCAATGTCGAGCGAGTCAAATTAACTGTTTAAAATATGTTTACTGCATTGAAGCTCAAGAAAGGATTGTAAGCGCTCAAGAAAAGTCTTCAGCCTAAAAAGACATTTTTTGATCCTTCAGCCACGATGACTGGCTGGCTCTCATAATGATGTGCTGCTGATGTTGCCTCCCTAACTTGACAGCCAGGGTGGCAGTACTTCCTTCGATCTGCGATAAAGAATAGACGAGACACACACATTGAGCTGGTCTTAACTTTATGGCAGGAGGATTTATTCTGCCCAAACATTCTTCTGATATCAAACATGTCAGTGTTAACATATGGCGTTCTGTGTAGTCCCATTCTCGTAGCTAGTTCACAGCACAGTTGCTAGAAACATCTGTGCTAAAGCTATACTAAAGCTACTAAACCTACGTCAACGTAACACACATTCACTTCAGATTCCAATATCTCTTGGTTCCAAACCAACACTTTCATGGTACCAGTAAAATAATAAATGCACATGCATTAGTGTCTCCTCATGGACTTTCCTTACAGTCCGGCTAAAGGCAAAACAAAATTACACTCCTTACAAGCAATATAAGAATTCAGTTGAGTTTGCCTTTTATCAGGATAAACCAAATAAATGATCATAAATGATAGCATTTGACACTTTACTCTTTTTTTTTTTTTTTTTTATAGTGTGAATATTTCACTCAAGTTGGCAAATTTCTGCTACTCAGAACAAATTCACAACAAATCTCTTACTTGAAATTCAATATATCTTCGACAACCCAAACAAATGCTTTTAGTGTTTACAGGTCAACTTTCACTATATATACCATCTGAATGTCTCAACAGAAATCGAGACTCATCAGACCAGGCAACATTTTTCCAGTCTTCAACTGTCCAATTTTGGTGAACTCTTGCAAATTGTAGCCTCTTTTTCCTATTTGTAGTGGAGATGAGTGGTACCCGCTGGGGTCTTCTGCTGTTGTAGCCCATCCGCCTCAAGGTTGTGCGTGTTGCGGCTTCACAAATGCTTTTCTGCATACCTCGGTTGTAACGAGTGGTTAATTCAGTCAAAGTTGCTCTTCTATCAGCTTGAATCAGTCGGCCCATTCTCCTCTGACCTCTAGCATCAACAAGGCATTTTCCCCCACAGGACTGCCGCATACTGGATGTTTTTCCCTTTTCACACCAATCTTTGTAAACCCTAGAAATGGTTGTGCGTGAAAATCCCAGTAACTGAGCAGATTGTGAAATACTGTGAATCACCTTTCTTTCCCATTCTGACATTCAGTTTGGAGTTCAGGAGATTGTCTTGACCAGGACCACACCCCTAAATGCATTGAAGCAACTGCCATGTGATTGGTTGATTAGATAATTGCATTAATGAGAAATTGAACAGGTTCCTAATAATCCTTTAGGTGAGTGTACATCTTACACTCACTTTTACCTCCCTTAACACACAAGCTTTCCCAAAAGCTGTATTAAAGTCAGTGGCGTTTTCTCCCAGCAGCCAAGGGAAGCCAGGCTTCCCCTGTTTTTATCAGAATCTATTTATCATTTCAATAAAAACACAATGTTTATAGTTTTGATAAATCTTTTGTGCTGTTGCTGTCATCTGTTCCCCATTTCTCACTATCTTACAATAAGTGAAACAGCACCCCTCTAAATGCTATGCGTTGGACGTGTTGTGAAACACTATATTGCACCACCGTAGACTTGCCTTCAGTCTGACTCATAGACTGTACGCGAGGAGGCCAGGCAGAGTTGGCATCCCTTTGTGAAAAAAAGTTAAATGATTAACCAATCAGATGAGGCCACTGTCATGCCACTGCCTAACTGTGATAAGTCAGGATGATGCCAAGGGAGGCCAGCCGCTGTCTGGCTTCACGCCAATCAAATCACAGCATGCGAATGTCATTCAGATGAAATAATGGGAGCTGTTAGCAACTTTAGCTGGTGCAGTTATGGAGGGTGGAGATTTGGAGTTTTTAGTTATAATAAATAGTTTTACTAAACTGCCACTACAGCAGCAATTTAAGATTAAATCTGACGGAAGACCAATGCCAAAACTGGAGCTGGCCTGGAGAAGGAAAAAGGGGTTTCGGACGTTCAATGAGGAAAACTATATCCATACAGAGTGGCTAGCTGGTAGCTCCAAACTTCACTTGACTCTGTTGTTGCGAAGAACGTAAAAGCCAGTGGGAAATTCTATAACTTGGCTATTGACCACTTCGCCACCATAAAAGACAGGAGAATGGCCTTCCTTTTCAAATAGGGTGAGTGAAATGTCACCTCCTTCTCTCTCTGAACTTAACTGAGCTGCAGCTATTTGTGCGATTTTTAATGTGGTTATATTGTTTGTTTTGCTTTGCTTGCCTGGATTTAGCTGCAAATGAATAGTTAGTTGAAGTAACCTCATTTTTTTTACTGCGGTTGTGTACGCATAGATAATGAGCACCACAGACAGCACCTGCCACAGGGCACTGGGCCAGGCTACCTGAATAATTGTCTATAACGTTACTCTGTTGGTCGGGTACTCGGTTGTTAGTCTTCAATGATTTTGGACAAGCATTAAGAAGTATCTAGGCCTATTTGATACATGCACCACTGCTACTATGCAAATGTCTTCAATCGTCTTCTAATTGAGCTTGTGAATGCTGCTTTTATTCCTAACCTGCACTATAAGCAGCGGGCTATGTATGCTATTTGGGGTGAGAGAGAGTGACTGAGTGAGTGAGAGAGAGAGTCTCGTAAATGCAACTTTCAGCATGTGTATTGATAACAGATAGTGCACATCTTTAAAGTATGATTCAATTTTGTGTAAAATTATACCCTGCACTGTAATAGCACAATGCATTAGATAATTGCCCTCTAAACACACCAAACACACGACATTTACCCCACGCCGCTGATTAAAGTGTGACCTTAACTCATTGTGGTTGTGTCATTTGGTTTTACGAACATAACCAAACATTTCTTTTTGAGCAGGCAGACTAATTTTACCACTATATTCAGCACTGTATTCACCACAATTACATTCAACTCATTTAACCACTTTTAAGGCACTGTGTTTGCTATTATGCTTTCCATATACATGCAGTCGCCATTTTGAGTAGTAACCTCACAATTGGCCTGGTATTTGCCAATAAACCACAACACACGTCCTTATGAATAACACGATAGCTAGGACATAACCTCTTGTGTTAAACAAATAACGACATTAAATAAGTGCTTAAAGGTTTACTGAGATACTGGCCATCACACCCCTGTAAAAGACAAGTTTAGTCTCGGTGAGGCACTTTCCTGGTTAAATTATAACTGCATATAGACTGCCAGGACTGATGCAGTACTTTTAATTTATTGTATTATTTATTTATGTTGTTTTGTATGTTTGTCTGTGATCTACTGTGATTGCAGTCTGTGTAGGTGCACACTTTTCTTTTTTTTTAGGTGTGTGTGTGTTTGTGTGTGTGTCAGTAGCGGTGTAAAGGGCAGAACAGTGAGATGGAGGAGAGGGTCTTCCATTATAGATCTGACCTGAGGGGTCACACACACACACACACATACACACACACACAAACACACACTGAGCTGAAGGGAATTTGACCATTAGTTTCCTCTCCATCATTCCACATGCTGCCCACAACTGTCTCACTCTGATTTATCTCCTCTTACTAACTATCTACATGCGTCTCTCTCTCTCTCTCTCTCTCTCTGTCTGTCTTTCTCCATTACCTACAGAGGAGATCTTCTCTCAGGAATCAGTCTTTTTCCTGTCAGTGTTGTGTTGCAGTTGTACAAGTCTTATGATTATCTCCACTGGCTGTTGCCCTTCTCCTGAGCTCATGTTGAAGTCGATGTCACCTTTTGTTGATGTAGCTGACAGTCCTCTCTGAGGAGTCCAGATCTAACTATCACTATGTGGACAGGTATTTTAAACACATAAGAAGATTTTGAGCCTTTACAAATATTGGACTTTGACTCTAGTGCAGTGAGTGAAAACAACAAAATAAAGCCATGTATCTGTATTATGTATTTATTTAATCTGAATATTTGACACTTGCTAAGCCAACTGTCAATCACTTTGAACAATTAAATATGAAATCACTTAATTAAAACACAGATTATAAATAGGGCTGGACAATATAAAAATACCAATAATAATAATAACAATATAACAAATGTTAAATAAATATTCAATATATATTTGATTTTATTCACGTGAATCCTACACAAATTAGGACTTAATTGTTTTATTAAGATTTTTATTTTGTTCTCCCCGTGTCCGCATGGGTTCTCTCCGGGTGCTCTGGCTTCCTCCCACTGTCCGAAGACATGCAGGCTAGGTTAATTGGTGTCTCTAAATTGCCCTTGTATAAATGTGAGTGGTTGTTGTTCGATGTGTGGCCCTGCGATGGACTGGTGACCTGTCCAGGGTGTACCACGCCTTTCGCCCAATTTCAGCCGGGATAGGCTCCAGCCCCCCACGACCCTGTACACAGGAAAAGCGGTTGACGATGGATGGATGGATGTTTTGAATGTTCTGCCTCAGGAACCTTCCCAACAGGACCAGACCCAAGTTTTTTTTTTTCAAATCATTTGTTTGCGGCAAAAGCAAACATGCATACACTTTGTGGCAAAAGTATGTGGACGGCCTGTCCACAGAGCTTTAGTTTGGGCTTCGAAGCCACTCTGCTGCCCTTGCCGCCATCACGGTTCGGGCGGGGGCCCAGCCACGACCCATGGGGGAGGGGCCCCCTCAAAGGGTGGGCATGCCGGCTGTCGGGGGGCCTGGCAGGCAGCAACCTCCGTGTTCCACCGAACAGGAGAGCTTAGCACTTGGCGGGAAGGGAGGGTCACGGGCACCAGCACACTCCACCATGCAGGAGGGAGCACCTCCCTGCGTGGCAGGCATGTGCGAGTCAATCTGTCGCTCCACCAGTGCCCTCCGCGCTCCGCCGCCTGGGGGGGGGGTGGCGAGAGACCTTCACACACAGTCAGAGGGGTCTGTTGGGTGTCCTCCAATGTGTGGCAGGAGGGACCACACGAGGTAGTGTAGTCGTCCTCGTGGGTCCCCTGCCGTACCGCATCCTCGGTGGGGGGAGGGAGGCAGAGGCAGACACAGCCGCCGGGGCAAGAGGTGGGGCAGAACAAACCCGTAACCATGCCGCTCTCCAGACGAGGGGGGGAGGGCAGGGACAGGCAACAGAGGAAAAGGTCTGTTGTGAGGGTCGGCCAGCAGCTATGAAACCGGTTGCTAAATGTCATTATCCGCAGCTAATGTGGCTGTCAGTTAGCTCAGCGTTAGCTCCCCGTTAGTTTACCTCGCTGCGGTAACCAAGTAGCGTTGAGGCGGGCGTCATCGGAGGTCAGAACGGGGGAAGCTCGGAGCCGCTCGGAGACCTGTGAATGGAGTCATCCAAATCCCAGCTCTTCCGTCACCAGCAGATCGAGGGCTTCGTCCAGAGAGCAGGTGGACCGCCACACCTCCTCGTCCTGAACGGCAAAGCAGAGGAGCAAAGAACGGGCAGTGCGAACCGAGAGTGAGCGCTCGCCGGGCGTGCTCCAGTCCGACGAGCGCGTCCAGCGCGCAGAAGGGGTAAACCCAATAGCGATAGCCTTAGAGGGCGAAGCCTATACGAAATAGAACATTTTGTTTCTCAGGTTTCCTGTGTTTTACTTTACCGACTCAGACTTGGAAGGTGGACACCACAGACATAATAAGAAAAGAACACAGACGAGAAGAATATCTTGTCAGCTCCCTGCTGAAGTTAAATGTGAAACGAGCTAAAGAGGTGTGACTGGCAAGTACAAGTTCTTGGTAAGTTAAGTTTGTTATTGTTAGCAAGACAACACAATTGTGTAAGTTAACTAAAGCTGAGCTCACTCTGGGTTTGAAAATATTTTCCTTGGTGGATAGCTCTGGTGTGCGTTAGCTAATGCTAGCATGTGGATTAATATATTTGTTAGCTAACGTTAGTTAGCATTTTAATAGCTTCATAATCGAGACAGCGACTTTTGTCTGCCTTAAACAGTGTTGGGAGTAAATTAACATTACTGTATTATGTATGTATATACATTACTTGTATTGCTTTTTGCTGTAAGGCAGTTTTTAATGTTACTAAAATTTCGGTAATATACAGTCTCAGAGATTTTAACAAGGCAGGCCTGTGCATGTGTTTGTATGAGCCCTCAATTCTGCTTTTGCACTGTTAAAATGACCAGTGAGGTCTTTATCAGAGTAATCAATGCAACTAATATGTTGCTGTCTGTGTGCGAAATGTTCACATTTTTATAGTCTACCTTAATACTCACATATCCATGTTTACAGGAAGTTACTGGTCACTGTAATCATTATTATTCCTGCCCATAATGTCTGTATAGACATCACCAAGTTGTCCTTTTTGTATAAATTCATTCTAAAGTTTAGCTGAAGCTACTATGAATCATCAGCTAAGCATCTGGATTAGATTATTCAAAAGTGGATATCTTCTAAAGGAGATTTTTTAGAGATTTCACTTCACTGCAGCCATGGAGGAGGAATTATTACAGTGACCAATAAGACGCTTGAAATAATGTTTTTATGTACTACAATGCCTGACCACACAATATAATAGCATGTAATGTTATGTAAGATACTGCTCACTACTGCTCTTTGTATGGTCATAGATCCTGTATTCAACTTTTTTAAAAGTTGAACCTACCCTTTGCGAACTTTAACCAACTTAATGCTAAACTCAGAGTTTGAATTTCCTGCCTTAGCTCAAGAAAATGAAATAAAGAATAATAATAAAGATTTGCTATAAGAATTTTTCAGTGCTTATAATGAAACGCAAATGAAGAACTAAACTAGGTGGAAGTACTGGCCTAACTGAATATTTATTACATCTCATTTGCAACTGCTTTTCTTTTCTTTTAGGGCTTCCTGGGATTGTTGCCTCACTCAAAGAAGGCTCAGAGACCACGAAAACCTCAAAGGACCAGCTGGAGCCTCACAAGCGTGCTCATAGGTATGTCTGGCTCCTGCTCACAATCACTGTTTTTTCTCTCACTACATGTCAGTGGGGTCAGACTAAATAAACAAATATTCTTGTGAAAAAATAATTTTATTTAAAATATTGTTATACATTAAGTAATTGGCTACTTTTGTACTTCACAAATTGAAGCTGTGTTAATGTGAAATGACATGTAGACAGAACAGTTGTTAAGCAGGTCTGAATGTTTGTGTTATTTGTTGTACCTGTTTAATAACATTTTATCATATACAGCTCCTTGG